GGCGTGTGCAGGCGGTGCGGCGGGCCGGCTGAACGGGGCACACTGTCATTGCGTCAGTCAGGAGAGCTGTGCTGCTCCTGTCAGCCGGTCGCTCCGTCATTTCAGGCGAGCTGTGTAAACAGCACAAGCTCTAGTTTGATGCCTCTAGCATAATGAAGGAATGGATTGGTCTGTAGCTGCACTGCCTACGTTTAACCGAAGAGGTATGTGTCTCAGCGTGGGGACCGCCGGTGCAGCCGTACCCTGACGTGGGAGACCCGCCGTAGGGCAGGTAGATCACCCATGCACGCTCCATCAGCCAGCCGACCATCCCGCTCCAGGGCGGGGGATGTCGTCCCGACTGCGCCCTCGGCTGCGGGGGGGGGGGGGGGGGTAGGGGGGGGGGGGCGTGGCATGACGTGACGTGGTGTGCCGGCTGCGGCGAGTCGGGTGCTTCCCCGCGAGGGCGGTCAGCACCGAGACTGGACGCTGATGCAACACGGTGGCAGGAAACTCTGGCCGCCAAACATATCAGCCGCATTGGGCAAACAGTGAGGAAACAGATGTGTTGTGAAACTCATGTTTGCGAGTTGTTTCGAGCGCTCAGCACCAATGCCACATTTCTTCATTATTGCTGTTTTGTTTGCAAGCTTGAATGAACTCGAAAACCCATTAATTTGCCAGATGCTAGTACCGGTGGGGATGAATCATTCTCGGGCCCACTCCCGATATCAGTTACATAAAGCCACAACACTAGGTACTGACCACTCCATACTAACGACGGTGGGGAACGACCGAGAGCGACACTACAGGACTGACTGGGAGCAAAAACTTTAAACAGTGCATTGCTTCTCCACGTGATTCATCTATCCGGGGCTTTTGCGGAGCGGGCCCGCCTGTCCGGACTGGGACCGCCTGTCCAGAGTAGGACCACCTGTCCGGAGCGGGACCGCCTGTCCGGAGCGGGCTCGCCTGTCCGAAGCGGGGCCACCTATCCGGAGTGGGACCGCCTGTCCGGAGCAGGACCGCCTATCCGGAGTGGGACCGCCTGTCTGAAGCAGGACCGCCTGTCCGGAGCGGGACCGCCTGTCCGGAGCGGGGCCGCCTGTCCGGAGCGGGACGGCCTGCCCGGAGTGGGACCGCCTATCCGGAGCGGGCCCACCTGTCCGGAGCGGGACCGCCTGTCCAGAGTGGGACCGCCTATCCGGAGTGGGACCGCCTGCCTGAAGCAGGACCGCCTGTCTGGAGCGGGACCGCCTGTCCGGAGCGGGACAGCCTGCCCGGAGTGGGACCGCCTATCCGAAGCGGGCCCACCTGTCCGAAGCGGGGCCACCTATCCGGAGTGGGACCGCCTATCCGGAGCAGGACCGCCTGGCCGGAGCGGGACCGCCTGCCCGGAGCAAGACCGCCTGCCTGTCCGGAGTGGGACCGCCTCTGAGCAGGCTGACGCGGTCAGGCCGTCGCCACCTGAGCGAAACGACCGGCCGGCCGGGCGGGCTGGCAGGCGAGCAGGCGAGCGCGCCCTGGCCGGAGGCGGCCGGGATGGCCGGGCATCAGCTGATGAGCCGCCGCCGCCGCCGGCGCGTCCAGGCCGGTCGGCGCTCCCGACGCTCGGCAACAGCGACCGGCGCCGCTGGACGCGGCCGGGGGGCGGTGCTGTTCCCGGAACACGCGGTGTCAGCGGCTGCGGCTGCGCCTGCCGGCCGAGGCGCAGCTGGACAGCCGGACTCGGGGGACGCCTCGTCGGGCTGAGGGGACACGGGTGAGACCGCCGGTAGGTCCCTGCTGGTGGAGGGCATGGCGTGATCTTATCCCGCTGGGGAGATATTTGCCCCCCACTAGGCCGAGAGGGTGGACTTGCGGCTATGGGAACCCCAGGCTAGCCTGATAGCATGGCCCCTCACACCCTGTCGAACCGGTGGGAAGGTCGTCCTAGATAGGCCGCGGCGGCGAGCCATGCACCCCCGGGTCATCTGGCGCAGCCTTCACCGATTATGCGGAACCTTTCCATTGGAATTGCATCGTTCAGCAGAAACGATGCGATCACGACATGGCTTGGCATGTAAACTTGGCGCTTTTAGATTAGTCCGCTACATGCATGCTGCAGTGATCCTCAACATAACACTCAACATAAGCGCCTGTGACGCTTGTGACCGTAGTAGGCCGCTGAAAGCAAACTCGTGGCTGTTTGCGTCAAAGCATGCCACTTTTCGCAGCTGCTTCCACCTCGCATTTATGAGCATCATGTACAAAGATAAGCTATGACGGCATTGGTCTTGGAACAGACCCGTCACAATTTTTGCAAGCGGGGAAGTTCCCAGGGGTTGCTCGCGCCGATAAAGCCACTCGCGTAATCGTCTGCAGGGCTTTGGGGCGATGTAACACTCCTCTCACCGGTCTGTATGGCTTTAGCTCATCATTAATTCACTCTACGGAGACTAAGATTGATGAGGTGTAAATATACGCGTCAATTATCCACACATCAGACTTCCGCAAGCTAGAAGGTTGGTGTGCTTGGTTCCGTTGCTTTTTGTGGATCGCTTATCTGCTAATGCATACATACTCAGCACACACATATTGCATCGTGCTAATACACACGCATGCATTTAAGGCAGCACACAGCCTGCTCTTGTTCAAACTCCCGAGATAACGACGTAGGCCGACTGATTCGTCATCATCTTCCGCTTTAAATCTGCGGCCTAACCACACGTAGTGCAGGAGGTGATATCTTTATCGTTAAGCGCAGGCGTGCAGGCGCCGGCCCTTCTTTTCTAAGCTCCGGACTCGTGGCATCACCGGATAAGAGTGCACGGCGATCGTGGAAGGCAGACGGGACGAGGTTACGACGGCGGTCGTAATCTCCGACGTGACCGTCGGACGAGGTTACGACGGCGGCAGTAACCTACGACGTGACCGTCGGACGAGGTTACGCCGGCGGCAGTAACCTGCGACGTGACCGTCGGACGAGGTTACACCGGCGGCAGTAACCTGCGACGTGACCGTCGGACGAGGTTACGACGGCGGTCGTAATCTCCGACGTGACCGTCGGACGAGGTTACGCCGGCGGCAGTAACCTGCGACGTGACCGTCGGACGAGGTTACCGCGCTAGGTGCATCCTCGTATCACGCCAATTGGTGGGTCCTTCCTTCCCGCTCCGTAAGAACGCTGCTAGAAACCACACATCTCGGGACCGACTGTTGGATGATCGACGACCCGGCTGAGGAGGGGGACGGGGGGTTGATATGCCCAGCCCACCCCCACCCACGCACCAGCCCGTGCGCGTCGCCGCCGCCCGGCTGCGCCTCGAGGCTCGTCGTCGGCGACGGACGGCCCCGTCGGCCTCGACGCTGGCATTCTGCTGACGCGACGCCCGAGGCTGCCAAGCGCTGCAGTATAAATAACGTCGCGAAAGCGAAATGAACGAGCCGGGATAATGCCGGGCCGGGTGACAGATAAATGAACGGTGTTCGGTGTCGGCGGCAGTATTTGCTCAAGAGCGCGCGGGGCCTGTTACGCGCTGGGCACGCGTTGTACCCAGCCCACACGGCTATCGGCAGCGGCGGCGGTGGCAACGGGCGGGGACTTCGGGCGCCCTGGATGCCCCTGGGGCCACTGGGGACGCCCTGGGACTTAAGCTCTCCGGCGCTGCGCCCCACCCGAATCAGAGCGGCTGGTGGTCCACTCCCCCCGGGCCTGAGTGGCTGGAAACCGGGCCCCGGGCCGGGCCAGAGCGGCTGGTGACCCACTCCCCCCGGGCCTGAGTGGCTGGTGGCCGGGCCCCGGGCCGGGCCAGAGTGGCTGGTGACCCACTCGCCCCGGGCCAGCCCGCACGCGGTCCTCGCGCTGTGAGGGCCGGACGTGATGATGACTGTGATAAATGACAGACGTCGCTTTGATTAATTGGGAGCGGAATGGCTCTGAGCACGCTTTTGAGGATGAGGCTCATTTCGGGCGTTGCATACAGCTGCAGGCAGTTAACCTACGTTTCGGTATCGCGGGATCAGTTAATTTTCGAGTCATGTGGAGCCTTCCAGGGTGTTCACGGCTGTTGCTGTGCGTTATTTGGCCGCATTTTGTTTTGAAATGTCAGTTGTGCACAACATTGCCCTTCCATCCCACTCACCTTTGCCGTGCGGTGTGGAGATTGAAAATGCAGAATATCAAAGATTGTATTTGTTGCTGATTCGAGAGTACTAGCAAGTAATTTCGTGCGTGGCCGAGAGAGGGCAACGCACACATTCGTTGCATTTAATTTCCAAATTATACGCCTCTCAACAGTACCATGTACCACGTCTTCCTACAGCCAAGGCCACATATATCTGGAAGCTGATGACTCTTCGTCTTCTCCAAGCCGTTGGCTGTTTGTTTAGGAATTTTTTGTGTCGGCTGAATGACATTTGTTTGAGGCAGTGAAAAGCTTTTTTTGCTGGCGGGACGTCTGGTGAGACCAGTCCGCTGGCGGATAATGGCGTCGACACAAGTCATCTCGAGACAATATCGACCATGGTTGCGACCTGTGAACAGGGCGCAAGTGTGACCGTCTGATATCGCGTTATCGACAGCCCAGTCGAAAAACGAATCTGGTCTTCATTTCACACCTCGACAGATTCTTTGATGGCATGGTCGTCTGAACAGATAATACTTTATATATGCTATATACATGTTTGTATGTGTGTGTGCATGTATGTACACACACACACACACACACACACACACACACACACACATATATATATATATATATATATATATATATATATATATATATATATATATTTATTTATTTATTAACCACTCCAAACAGACTCAATGGGCCCTGCTGATAACCATGATAGGATTTGTTGACACAGAACTGAGGAGAATCAGCCAAACGTGCACATGGCATGGGTGTCTCTTCTGAGAAGTCCAAGGAAAACAGGCAACTGAGCACAGATCTCTGGGATCTAGACTTTTTCAGTGGTTCTCACGACCGAGGGAATCCTAAGCAAGTTTCTCAGCAGACTGCCGTGTTTGGAGCAAGATGGCGGTCGGTGTGTGGCCCGGAGGTCCGTGTCGGGCCGAGAGGTGTGCGTGGGGCGTGGAGGTCTGTGTGGGATCTGGGGTCTGTGTGGGGCCCGGAGGTCTGTGTGGGGTCTGTGAGTCTGTGCGGGGTCCCGAAGTCTGTGTGGGGCCCGGGGTCTGTGTGAGGTATGGAGGTCTATGCGAGGCCCGGAAGACTGCATGGGCCCGGTCCCGGCCTCAGATTCCACCGCAGCGGGGGTCTGTGTCCCGTGGCTGGAGACGGGGCCGTGGCAGGCATCGGGACCGGGTCAGTCACGTGTCGGTACCGTTAGTCGCATCTGTTTGTGGCCGGCTGGCTCGAGCCGCTGACGGGCGGTCGCCGGCTGGAATAAGGAGCCGGGACTCTGCCTCAATGGCTGATCCTGGGCGAAACCTTGAGGGCTTGCCCTAGGGCCCCAGGGGTCCTGCGTTTTGAAGACTTATGATGTGATCACAAAGTCGGGTTCGCCTGTATGCTCTGAAGCGCGTCGCGGGCTAAGACGGACCGTGCAGTCCGCACGCACGCGCCCGCCGCTGACGACGCCTCCGGTCCGTTGGCAGAGGATGCAGAGGAGCGGCGATCCCCCTCTCCGGGCGGCCACAGCGAGGGCGCAGGATCGGCGCGGGACAAGTACCGGCCCCGCTCTCGGCACAGCTTCTCACGATCACATTCCGTCACCACCTACGTCTTCGATGAGGGTGAGTATAGAGCGGCCGCCGGCCGCGCTCCCGGCGCAGCGCGCCGCGAGGCGGGCCATGCGTCTTCATATCCTGTTGAAGAGACATGTAAACATTTATTTCCGCCGTGCGGCTCAGATGTTTGGCGGTATCTGACAACCGGGAGGAAATTTGCAGCTTGTGCGCCCCACGTTTTGGTGGTGGAACTGTTTGGCTATCTATAACGGACGTCTGAACGGTGCTTTACGTGACGCTTTCAGACCTCGCACGCGATCAGCATGTCACCGAAATATTCACCGCCTGCAGCCGAGCAGCCACATGACAGATACTCAGGATGCCACATGATGGCGCTGTCAGCATCCAATCTTCCAAAAGGGTGACATTTCATTCTGCCGCACAGCTGCGGTAGATGGCTCGCGCTGGCGGTGTGGCCGCGCCGGGAACACGACACCACCCCGCACGGCAGCCGGCCGGCCGGTTCGTCGCCAGCCCTGAAACGCGCCGTCCGTGCCGGGAGCCGGACTTTGGCCGCGCTGTCTCCAGGCGCCGCGGCGCTCCGGAGGGTCGCCGCACGCGTACCACGCGGCGTCGGTTGCCGGGCGGCTCCGCGCCGGCGACCGGGCCAGTTCGGCGGCTCGGGTGGCGGCGAGGGTGTCCGCGCGGCGGCCGGCGGCGTCGCTCGAGACGGGTGTGGCCGCGTACCCGCTGACCTAGTCGACGGCGGGCCGCCTGCCGCCGGCCGGCTGCGACTGGCGAGGCGTCGGCGTCGGCGGCCGCCGGCGCGCGCTGAGAGAGGCGCAAGCAGTGGTCTGTACCGCCGCCTCGGTGCACACCGGGGCGCGGAGCGGTGCCGGAGTCGCGAGCACACCCCTCCTCCCCACGCTCCCCCGCCCCCAGCCTGTACACACCGCCGCGACGATATGAAGCGGCCTCCGACCCCGCAGATAGCGGCGTATTGCCAGCCCTTCATTTTGCAACATGCAGCGTCATGTCACACCGGCGGCGCGATATGCAGGCGCCGACTTTTCATTAGTTTATTTGCGTGCACCGCTTCTGACAACAATCACTGCCAGATCGGCAACTAATGGGTTTGGTGTTCAGCTGGGCGGCGGTGTTTCATCGCGTGGTGATCTGCTGGTTTAGCCGGCGGTGATCTGCTAGTTAGCCGCCACGCTGGCTGCGAAGCATGCGCTGACGACATGTACCCATTCGGCCAGGGATTCACAGAAGCCAATGCTGTTTCAACCACAGGCATGATAACACCAGCTTACCATGAACAACATCCTGCGGAATATCCATTGAACCCGTTGCGCAATGATGGGCGGCGGGAGCCAAACTGCGGAGTCACTGCAACAGTGCAGATTGCAGAAGGGGCGGCTGGTGGTATATCTGCAGATGTTGCGACGAGACAAAACCAATAAGCGCTCGCGATCGGTCCGTTTTGGCACAGAAAGAGTTAGACAGCTCTCATAATGGCACACGAATCCCCGTGCCAATCCTCATGTCCATCGGCATGCCCTATCTGTGGAGGTTTACTGTCAGCAGTGGCTCACCCAAGGGCCTGGTGTTCTACCTCCCGAAGCCCGTCCCCTCCTTATCGTCGGTGTCGTGCCGTCCGGTCAAAGGGAGTGTCTCACGTTTGGGGCATATTTCAAAAACACTCCATTGGAACTCAGGACTGGTTACGTCCCATGACACCATTGGGAAGTGGCAATGCAGCACCGTCAGGACATAAGGATATCAATTATAATTATTTTCGAGTCCGAATTACGCTGTCAGCGCTTGATAACAGTCCTTCCCTGCTGTCGCGACCACCGTCGCTATGGCAACCGCCGTACACCTTCGTTGGTTAGAATAAAAGAATGTTTGTGATAGGCTAGGCGTGCGGCAGGGATCTGTTTCTAAAAACCGCATTGGTCGAAGTTTGAACCAGCGCGTCACTTTGGACTATGCTATGCTCCCATTCCTACAGCCAATGTGCACCTCGTAAAGAGCTACTTTGGTAAACGCAATAGGGAAGAAATCAAAGGATTAGCTTAACGTTTCGTTGAATTCGCGGTGTAATAGTTTCATGTTTGTTCATCTTTTGATCTAAACAGAACGTTTCAAGCTTTAGAAGCATGCATTACACAAACATTTTGAAAATTATTGTTTCGCTGGCAAAAACACGTTACACGAAAAAACACGAAAAACACGGAACAAAAATACGTTGGAAAAGCAAGGCAGACTAAATATACTACTGTCATAGAGGTCAGCGGGGAGTCCATTGATATTGCTCGCGCGGGAGCGACTATTTAAAACAAAAACTGAGCTATTCGGAAGGATTATGAGAAAACTGATATCACTGATCAAATCGTGCACGTCGGATCTGTCAAGAAGTGAAAAGTAGGAAAAGGTGGCATACTCCCTTCAGACACGCCGTGTTACACGAAGCCGTAACACGAGAGAGAACCCTCACAAATCGCAAGGAGAGCGTTACGCCTAAGCCCAGGCATATGGGCAACACTGAGCCCGGTGGAGGGGGGGGGGGGGCGCCCTAAACCCAGACAGAAGGCTTTCCAAGCCCGCGTAGGGTGACATCCCCTAATCCTAGACAGAACTATGCACCAGGCTTAGGCAGAATGGTTCCATGCCTTAGTAGGGGGATTCCAGAGGATTTCAAGGAGAATGGCGCCCCCAACTCTGGTAGAGAAGCACCCAAAAGTCCTAACTGAGGAGCGCCAAAAAATCCTGGTAGAGCGACACAGCCGAAACGATGCCAAGGAGCGTCTCCAGGCTCAAAGGGAGACTTGACTCCCAAATCCAACCTTAAGTTCTGGAAACTATACTTAAAAACAGCATTTCCACTCATGTACGAAAGAGTGGGGCTTTCCAGCTCTGAGTACGGCGATGCGCGAGCAAAGGTGGGCAAACAACCACAAGGGGTACCTCATGCCAAGTTAGAATGAATTATCAGCTCCAGGCAGTGTGCACGCCTACGGTAAATGAGTGATGCCCTAAATACTGGAAATTTGGACATTTTTATAAGTGAGTTTCAAAGTTATGGTGACGAGTAAGGGTCAGAAATATAACTTTGCCTTTACGCCTACCCAGTTCCTCAGGAGGATGGAGGGAGGAGAACGTAGAACAGCGGAGAGAGACAAACAAGAACGGCGGAGTAGGAGAGAGTAGGGGAGAAGTGATAGCTAGGTAAGTTAGTCTTGAGTATTTCTCCACATTTTAAGAAGGCATAATGTTTTTACATTGCGAGTTGAGAGAAAGCATTTTGCCAACAACTGGCCTTCATTATTCCGAGAGGTGCTGGCTGAACGGCTTCATCAAGAAAACATCTGCTGTATTGACAAAATCCGACGTTTCAAGTTGTGCTCATGTTCACGATTCAGTTATTCGTGACCAACGAATCAGTCAATCGTGACAATGTCGGAACAAAATTTTCAGCTCGCCATGCCCAAGAGTTGCGAGCATTTCTCGCTTATACCGAGCAATGTTCGTGCACGCTTCATTTGCTACTTTTGGTTCAAACTGGGCTGAAGGAGGACAAATTGATATGGATTGTTTCAAACCATTTCTTGGTCTCCTGGATCGGACCGGATGAAATTTGGGATTTCCGAAAAGAGCGAAAAACAGCTGAGTGAATTCAAAGACATGGGAGTGCTTTGGAATGGACTCTAGAAATTAGATGCCTGAAAAGTTGCCTCCAGTAGGAGGGAAGGGGTGGTAGATCTTCGGTCCAGACACGGTTATTTCAGTGTTACAACGGTTACAGCTCTGCGTTGGAATGGGACGGAACTGTTTTCAACTTCAGACAGGCGGATAGGTTTAATATGGTCTTTGAGAGCCCTGATTTCCTTGAACATGAGTAAAGCCTCGTGCCACTTGCGAGTGGCTTTATCTCATGTTACCATCTAAAGCCACCAGAACTTGCAGCTACAAAAAACAACAACAAAGGCTTTCTTATTGCCTAGAAAATGACCCCTCGGCGCTCCAAGAAACTGGTGTGAGACTTTGCTTTTGTCCTCTGGAGGAATCTGTCCTCCTAGGGCGCAGCATGATCTTAGTGGTTGGCGGGCCCTAAGGCTCCAATCATTATCATTAGGTGCGATCATCTCCTGCGATCCTTCCCTCTCCTCATGATAACCCTGGCTACCTGCCTGCGGTCACCGACCGCCCTAAGCATCATTGCCCGCTGCCGGGGCCGCTCGCCTCCCCGAAGGCTCCGTACCTCCCGGGGACCCCGGCTGCCCCCCCCCCCCTGCCAGTCGTCCCCCAGTCCGGCGCTTGACCGACCGACCTCGCCGGCAGACGAGTACACCAAGATCCAGACGCCGCGCCAGGACATGATCTTCAAGAAGAGCGCGTTCACGCGGCGCCGGCCGCCGGCCGAGGGCAGCCTCTCCGAGGAGACGGAGACCCAGAGCGTGGGCGGCGCCAGCTCGGAGCCGCCGCCGCCGCCGCCGGAGCAGACGGCCACGCCCGAGCTCTCCGAGGCGTCCAGCGACGGCAAGCCCAACAGCGGTGAGTGTGCCGAGCCACCGCTGGACGGGAGAGGGGTAGGGGGCGCATTTTTTGGACATGCTGTTTTTGCGCAGGGCATATGGTGGCGTTCGTGTTTGTAAGACCGTGGTTAGTGCTGTTTGATGAAGAGTCGTTTGACAGAAGTTGTGCGTAATGGCCAACTGCGGTGCCAATGGCGCTTCCCAAATGATATTTTAGTCCCGTAGATGGCCCCTGCGTGCAATAATTAACGCTTCTCACGTCTTCCAATCTCATCTTTCCACGTCAGCTGTGCTTGCATCAGCCGGACCCACGGCCCAAAGCCGTGAAGCTGTAGACCGGTCATAATTTCCAACGCCCAAGTCTTGAGAAGCCCCTTCAAGGCGTAGCAAAGCCGGTCTAATGGTCCTCGGCCGACCGCCTCAGGCGAGTGCTAGGTCGCCGGCGTGCGCGCGGACACCACCGGCAAAGACATTCAGTCCGGTGCTAAGGACGCACAGTTCGTCTCGCCAGAGTCAACTCGACGGAAAATAAGGGCCGCCTAGCTCGAAATAGCAGCGGTAGGAATTCCAGATGCGTTCTGTTGGACGCCCACGACAAAACGCATTTGTGTGGCCGCGCGTTGCTTGGAATTCTGCCCGTGGCGCCGTTACGTAATGGTAACTACGGGCAGGGAGAATGCAGAGAAATCCCAGCCGCGCATCTCGTGCCTCTGTGGGCAGTTTCTGTCGGGACCAGCCCAGGTTTCGGCGGCTGAGGCTCATTTATCCAAGGTCTCAGTTTAATAGTCCATTGATTCGTCGATGCATTGATCTCCCGTCCGTGACGTCAATCGGGGTCCTGAGGCTTCTGCATCATCTGTTCGAAAACAAGAAAATGGTTCAGCGGTGGCGCTGGTGGCCAACTCGACGTGACCTTTAGTTTCGTGCACATCCGACCGACGTCTCCCCAGATTCGTCCGGTCAACAAACATTTCTTTTTCGTTCCGACGCAGCTTTGTTGGGCGGAATGTCCGCATATCCGAGCGCAGCGCAAACACCCAGGCATCCGCCTGGCGTTCAGCGTACCGGGGCCGACGAGGCGTCTCGGTCCAGTCAGGCGTGTCACGGGGCCGTCACGTCACTGTCCCCGCTCCCCCCGTCGCGCGTCTCGCCTCTTCGGCGTCACGGGCCTGCCGGACAGCTGGCGCCTCACCCGGGGCGGACGCCCCCCCCCCCCTCAACAGGTCATGCTCTCGCGCGTATCTCAGGTCCCGCGCGCTCGCAGTGTGTGGAAAGTCAGCAGGCAGCGAAATAGCTGACAGTGTGACGAGTATCCACGGTTGCTGGGCGAGGCTGGTGAGCACGCCGCCTCCGTCTGGCGGTTTTTTTGACGGGCTTGCGGCCGGTCTGGAGGCCGGAGGGAGGCGGTTGCTGGGCGGTGGTGCCTCGCGCGGGGGGCCGAGCTGCTCATTAACGCACCCCGGCTGTCTGCCCCCGCCGAGCTATGCCCGCTCTTCCCCCACGACTGTGCCGAGGGACACATGGCGTCTGGGGGCTGCGTCGCCCCGCCACCGCCAGCGGAATGGGTGTGATGTGTTGTTTTCGGTAAGGTGAACCCCGGCCTGTCAATATCTGTGAGTTATTGGCTTTGCGGGTGACCATCCTCGGCGTTAATTTGAGAAGAGATATTTTGAGACCACGTGTGACCACTACGTGAGCCGGCGGAACATTACACCGTCAGAGCTATTTGTGTCTTAAATTTATATTAGAGTCTTGACGCTGGCCAGGCACGCACACGTGGTCAGGCCAATTCGCTTGTTCGAACGTTCCAGTTTTTTTTTTGCATCGAGCAAGATGTTTTTTGCGTATCCGTGTACTAACTTACAGGGCTCTAAGTTGAAACACCCGCGCAAGTTCTTTTTCGCGTGTTGCTCGCGTGTACGCCGTGTCGTAACTAGCCAACCTTACGCTCGCTTACGTCGCGTCCGCCCGTCTACTGGATTACCGAGGGCTCCGAGACACGCCACGGTCTCCTATTGGGAGCCGCCGGGACCTCCCACCTGGACCCGGAGCCATCTCCTGTCGGCAGTGTTGCGGTGTCTTGTGTGCATCCACAGTGGCTGCCTGCCGACAGCCAGTACAGTCCCGTTCGGGAGTCGCCGCGGTCTCCTGTCGAGAATCGGCACGGTTTTCTGTCGGTAGCCGCTGTGGTCTCTTTCCTCTTGGGAGCCACTGTGGTCTCTTGTAATGAGCCGCTGCGGTCTCATGTCGTGAGCCGCTGAGGTCTCCTGTCGGGAGCCGCTGCAGTCTCCTGTCGGTAGCCGCTGAGGTCTCCTGTCGGAAGCTGCTGGGGTCTCTTTCCTATCGAGAGCCGCTGCGGTCTCCTGTCGGTAGCCGCTGAGGTCTCTTGTTTGTAGCCGCTGAGGTCTCCTGTCGGAAGCCGCTGGGGTCTCCTGTCGGAAGCCGCTGGGGTCTCTTTCCCATCGAGAGCCGCTGCGGTCTCCTGCCGGTGGCCGCTGCGGTCTCCTGTCGAGAGCCGCTGCGGTCTCCTGTCGAGAGCCTCTGCGGTCTCCTGTCGAGAGCCGCTGCGGTCTCCTGTTGAGAGCCGCAGCGGTCTCCTGTCGAGAGCCGCTGCGGTCTCCTGTCGGTAGCCGCTGTGGTCTCCTGTCGGGAGCCGCTGCGGTCTTCTGTCGGTAGCCGTTGCGGTCTCCTGCCGGTAGCCGCTGCGGTCTCCTGTCGGGAGCCGCTACGGTCTCCTGCCGGTAGCCGCTGCGGTCTCCTATCGAGAGCCGCCGCGGTCTCCTGTCGGGAGCCGCTGTGGTCTCCTGTCGTGAGCCGCAGCGGTCTCCTGTCGGTAGCCGGCCGTCCGCAGGAAGCCTCAGGGATGCGGACCGGCCGCCGTATTGATCCCGTCCTCGGCAGCCGGCCGGCCGCCGTCTAACCGTCGCCGCCTCCTCCTCCGGCCTCGCCGCGCGGAAGCACGGCGGGCTGCCAACCCGGGATGCGCTTGGCACCGTCCGCGAGCGCTGCCGAGAGTTGTCACTCTGCAGCGCTGCCGAGAGTTGTCACTCTGCAGTGATTCGATACGGCCGAGTGATGACGGCGAAGCAGCGGACGGCTTTCGTCTGCTCCCGCCGAGATCGCCGCCGGCTGTTTCAGCGGAGGGCGGCGATCGGAATCGACCGACACGAGTCGGCTGTGTTTCGACCGATCGGCGCTCGGGTTTGACAGGCGGCTGCCGATGATCACGCCACACGTGTGGCAGACCGGGCTGTGACAGGGTTTCCCTCTGGTATGCGCTCTCAACAGTGTCGGTTATGTAAGATCCTGCGCCGTGCTTACGTAACGCTTCGATTTGCTTTAGGCTAGGTGGGCAGGACATGACCACGCTGAGCGCAACAAACGAAATGTTTCAATCCAGGCGCAACGTAACCTTTCCTCATGCGGTAGCAGGCCATTTCCATGGCAATATTGACTCTGAGCAAATTTGAAGTCAAGAAAGGCCCGCTGTCCGCGTCTCCTGTGATCTAACGAAGCCCAAAACTGGCGCGCCCTCTTCTACGTGACCTGGCTGCAAGAATCGAGACGGCCCAGCGGTCATGCTGCCGTGTTCGTCCCTGCTCCTGAGCGCCAGCCGCGTCCGCCGATATTTCAGTCGGGATGAGGCGCTGCGATGGGGTCGGCCATGCCGTTCACCAGCGCTTCCCCGAGCGAGGTGCTATATTGCCAGGGAACGGGAGCTCACAGTGGGGCCGCACTGAGGCGCGCGAACAGGCGGTAAATCAGTGGCAAAGGCGCCGTGTTGAACCTAAACGGGCCCAGGGCGGGCGGCTTCTTCGTGGTCTTGCGGTCAAGTTGTGAGAACGACACCGTTTCATTCATTATCGAAGTATGCAACCGCCGCGTCCGTTAGTGCCGGGACCCCAAACGTCAGTCGAAGGACAGATTCGTTTGCAGTGCACGGGATTTTGATCCCGGTATCACGATCTGCACCAGATCGTGATACCGGAGTCTTATGCGATCTTATGCGACCCCGAACAGATGTTTGAATAGCAAACTGGGAAGTTCGTGAGCGGAGGGCAGACTGTAAGCCTTTCAAATCTGGACATATCGTTCACCTTTATCATAAGTGGAACTTTCCACATGTTTGGAGGGTTTGCCCCTCACGCTTCTCCCTTCCAAAGGGAAGGAACGGGGTAGGGAATAGGGGGATCGCAGCCCTTCTTTCTGTTTAATATTGAACATTTACGCCAAGATGTGACATGAAAGGAGCATCTTCTTAAGAGAGGTGCGACCCATTTCTTTTTGAGCGCGTTCTTACGTCTCTAACATTACGCAATAATTCCAAACTTTGATATAAGGCCTGGGCGTTGCGCAGAAACAGTTAACTTGAACCTTGTATTGTTCCATTTGCAAATGTCGAGAAAAGCTCACCTTGGCCGGTCATATTAGCAACCCTCTTCCGCAGAAGAGGGCTTTTAGTCCCGCCAAGGTAGTATCAGCAATCCTGTTCCGCAGGAGACGGCTTTTAGTCCCGCCAAGGTAGTATCAGCAACCCTCTTCCGCAGAAGAGGGCTTTTAGTCCCGCCAAGGTAGTATCAGCAATCCTGTTCCGCAGGAGACGGCTTTTAGTCCCGCCAAGGTAGTATTAGCAACCCTCTTCCGCAGAAGAGGGCTTTTAGTCCCGCCAAGGTAGTATCAGCAATCCTGTTCCGCAGGAGACGGCTTTTAGTCCCGCCAAGGAAGTCATTTCATTAGTGGGGATGCTAACCACCATGCGTCGCCAAGTTTACCAGCTCTTCGCCGTATCATGCGTGACCGGCGCGTGGGGCAGCATTGATCCTTCTGTCGCTGTTCGTTGTCCGGCCACCCTTTTGATTCGCTTCTGGTCAGCAGCGCGGCGATGACCTCTGCTGGGTCAGCTTGGACCAAAGCCGTTCCTGTCGGATGGGCAATGGTCTCCACTAGGTCATCTGTCCGGTGGTGGTCGCCGCGGGATCATCTGTCCGACGTTGGTCCCCGCTGGATCATCTGTCCGACGTTGGACCCCGCTGGGTCATTTGTCCGGTGGTGGTCTACGTTGGGTGTTCAGCTTTCCAGCGGCTGTCCTTGCCAGGTTAACTGTCAGGCAGTGGTCCCTGCAAGGCCGTCTGTCAGGCGGTGGTTCCGCTGGGTCGGCTGTCCGGCGGTGATACCCTCTGGGCCAGCTGTCAGGCGACAGTCCCTGACAGGCTAGTTTCAGGCGACAGTCCCTGACCGGCTAGTTTCAGGTGACAGTCCCTGACGGGCTAGTTTTAGGCGATAGCCTCTGACGGGCTAGCCTCAGGCGACAGTCCCTGACGGGCTAGTTTCAGGCGATAGTCCCTGACGGGCTAGTTTCAGGCGACAGTCCCTGACGGGCTAGCCTCAGGCGACAGTCCCTGACGGCCTAGTTTCAGGCGACAGTCCCTGACGGGCTAGCTTCAGGCGGCAGTCCCTGATGGGCTAGTTTCAGGTGACAGTCCCTGACGGGCTAGCCTCAGGCGACAGTCCCTGACGGCCTAGTTTCAGGCGACAGTCCCTGACGGGCTAGCCTCAGGCGACAGTCCCTGACGGGCTAGCTTCAGGCGGCAGTCCCTGACGGGCTAGTTTCAGGCGACAGTCCCTGACGGGCTAGCCTCAGGCGACAGTCCCTGACGGGGTAGCTCCTCGGAGGCGAGCACTGCCGGGTCAGCTGTCCCAGAATCGCCGGCTGGCTGCCACCCGGACGCCAATGGTGCGTTGCGCGGGTCACGGAATGCCACGCGGCGCGGTCCGTTTGGCCGGCCGCTCTGACCGGCCGTGACGCCCGTCCCGTCGGGTCAGACCGCGTCGCGTCTGTCGAAGCGCCGGCGGCGCGCTGCCAGCGCGGCACGCCCCCTGGGCTTTGCGCCGGCCGTCGAGCAGGCGGCGAGCGCACAGCTTGAGTGGGCCGTTGGCAACTGTCAGGTATTGCGGATTTCGAGGCCGTTAAGATCGGCCGCCGGATTAGAGGACAGCCGCTCGCGGGACGGCGCCAGCGGCGGACGGAAGGCGAGCGTCGTCGCGCGCCGCCGCGCCGCGTCGCGCCGCGCACACCCGCCCAGCCGGCGCCCTTTCCACAGCTGCGCCGCCGCCTGCTGATGGCGCTCCTCCACGCCGGCGCCGCACTCGGCGCAATCAGTCGCCTCGTGGGGTCTGTCGCGTCGCTAATGAGAGAAGCACGGCCGATCAAAATAGCTCTTGCTATGCGAGCGATGCGACGGACGGAGGGGATCCGCCGGCGGCAGCGAGCGGGCCGCCCGCCGCCACATCGCGGTACCGTTTGGCGCTCCCGCGCCGCCACGTGGCCGCGGCACGCCACATTGCTCGCCAGTCGAATCCGACGGTTATGCGCCTAAAAACGGGACGGTGGCTCGCGCCGGTGCCACTTGCCTTCAGAGCACCCGTGGGATGCGGCCAAAGACCTGTCCTCTCCCCAGCTCCCCCGCGTGGTCGCGCGGGCAGGCGATGGGCGGGCTCGAACGGCAGCGGGGAGGGGAGGAGGGTGACCGATAGGCAAGATGGAGGAGCTTGTTGTTGCGTGTTAAAATAAAGTTTCCGGTGGTGTTTGCTGACTGGCATGTCAGAAAGACCCTGCTATTAAGGCGAAAGCCGGTGAGGACTCTATTTTGGTCTTCAATTATACGTGCCTTGTGCCTAAAGCCTCCGGGTGCGACGATGAGACGGCTGGGCCTTGCATCTGACGGCGTGGACAGTATGGTTCAGATTTGAGATGCACACGACTGTGACAGCTGTGTTTGCATTATAAAAGTTCCATGGTTGTTGAGGAGCTCGTTTCTGATTAAGGTTAGACGACCTATTACGCTCTGTTTGCATACGCGTCATGTAGCGTTTGTTCAACGCATTCCAATTGGTTTAAGATGCTTTAATACTATAGCATGACCTGATTTGATTGGCGGGCCATGCTGCGTATGCAGAAAAAAGGATTGTCATGTTTTTACGGAAGAAATCGGGCACGTCCAATAATTATGTTGAGCCGCTTACATTCTCCGAGAGTCTGCACTCAACACTTTAACGTCGGAATTGTCAATATTTTAATGCGATTAAACTGCAATGTAAAAGACACTACTTTTCTACTACCAGAACCGGTTGGCAAAACCGGGTGGTGTCGAAATGGGCTTATGTTGCTATCGATCCTAGCAAGCACACTCATCCGCAATTCCTGTTCCTTTAAAATGACGGCATGTCGAAATATGCTAGCAAACCAGCCCCCCCCCCCCCCCCCCGGCCTTCCCGGAGACGACTCAGTCGCCGCTCGCCAGCGTCTCCCTCACGGTGAGCACCTCCCCGGCGTTGTCTCACTGTGACTCCGCCGGCTGACATGAGACCGCGTCTGTTACGGACGGCTTCGGCGGAGCTCACTGGGTCGGTCGCAGAGGTCCTCATTTGGCAGCGGCGCTGCTAACGGCGCCCTGGAGCGCGGTGCATGTTGATGCGCCGGTCCTGTGATGGCCTCATAAAACTCGCAGGACGACAGGGACGCGACAGTCTTAGTTCAATAAGCACGAGTGTGATGGTGATTGGGGGGCCGACCAATGAATTCAGCCGGACTGTTTTTGTAGGGTTTGATGAGTTGACGGTTGGTGGATGTGCCATGCAATCGTATTTGATGCGCACACATTAGCTAAGTGGCAAATGCCGTCACTCTGCTGGACATTCGCTTAAATGTCGCCGTTATGGGGCGCCGTAAACGGATTGTCGGTCCGCATGATATAGAGCGTGTGGCGATCTGAACCATATGACCCAAGTATTTCCTTCTCAATATAGTCATCACAACATTACCTACAGCAAGCAGTCAGCGTTCATTCAGTTCCAATGGAATTTCACTGACTGCCCAGGAGTTCTGTATGCAAACAACCTCGGTGTTTGACGCGACTCGTAAACTCCATCGTGCTCAAGGCTTATTGGTTGCTATGGTCAGGTCTTGTGAACCAGCAGATTCCATCATGGTAGCAACGCTCAATGTTTTGCAAGTTTACTTAGTTTGGTCACCCGCATGGGACCAAAGCTCGGTGGACCTTTTGCCCTGCCCTCATGCCCCGGCGCCTTTGGTCCAGACGCGTGCACTGGACCCCGGGATCCTTTGGTGAGCTATAATCCAGATTCCATGGGCCGTTTGGGCAGAGGTAACTAAAACTTCCGTTCTGAGTTGCCGTTGAATGTGAGCCGCATCGGAGTTCTCCGGATGCGGAAGCTTCTCCGATGACGATGCAGCAGCGCTTGCGGACACTTCCGGAGAATGCGGAGCCTCTCTCGAGAACCCTAGCGCGGCGGTCGTGCGCTCACTGGAGCCGCCGTGCCCAGCTCACCACGCCTCGACCCCTCTTCCGACGCGCTGGGTCGGTCTCGGATGTCCCGCGCCGGGAGACCCCCTCCGCACGGGTCGCCGAGCGTCGGGTGGAGGTGGCGTCCCCGGCGGACCGCGGCGCCGAGGATGCGACTCGTCGCGTGGGAGTCCCGACGGCCGTCCCTCGTGTGTCGCCGCCGGCTCGGCGGGGGTCTCCCCAACAGCGGCGCGGCGGGAGCGGCGACGGAACGCGGGCTTCTCATCCATGCGCGGGGCATGCCGGCAGACATCCGGCCCGGCCCGACCCGGCCGGCGCGGGTCCGCCTCACGTTACAGCGCGTCATGGAGACGCGTCGGAAGCCGTTGGCCATCGGCGGCGGCGGCGGCGGCGGCGGCGGCGGAGGCGGAGTCCGACGGCGGCATATCGACCCTGGTAACTGCCGGCGCCGGCCGAAATCAGGCCCGACACGAGAGGAGCGGCCGGAGAGGGCCGGTGCAATCACACTGATCAACAGGCAATGCCCGCAGTCAGGCTGATTGGCAATGCATTAGAGGGCGGCGAGGCGCAGGAGGAGTCCAGCGAGGTGCAGGAGTTTGGCGAGGAGAAGGAAGAGTTCGGCCATGCGCAGGAGGAGTCCGATAATGAGAAGGACCAGTCCGGCGAAGAGGAGGGGGAGTCCGGTGAGACGCAGGAGGAGTCCGGCGAGGAAGAGGAAGATTCCGGCGAAGCGCATGAGAAGTCCGGCGATGAGTTTGACAGCAGGTAGCTGAGGAAGGTGTTGCCGGCTGCCGACGACCTTCAGCATTTCTGACGCTAGTGGACTGACTCCAAGAGAATGCCAAGTCAGCGCGTCCATTGTTTCCGCCCCGGTTGAGCGAGCCCCTTCCCTGCTGACGGACAAATCACCCGTCTGCATCATGCGCGCTGTTTCGGTCGGATCCGGCTCGGGATTGGCCGATGTCGCACCGTCGTCTGTCAACCTGTCACCTCGTCCCCGCCGCCCCATCTGTCTCGGCGGAACTGCACAATGCGTGCACCTCAGACGATGCCGAGTTCATTAGTGGCGAGGCCGCCAGGTTCGGCCGCATGTTGGCAGATGCTCCCGTCCACGAGCGGCGTGCGCGGGGACGGCGTAGCAACCCCGCGATACACCGGCGGGGCGTATTTGCATCAGCGCTGTGGACAGAGGCAATGCGACGCGCCGGGTGATGTTGACGGACACCGTGCCATCACGAATGGTTTGCTGCCTCTGATGACGGCCCTGGAGTAGTTGTACTTGACTGGGGCCCACTGTCTCCAGGGTTGCACTTGACATAGCTCCGTATGTAAGGTACAATTGATGCCGTCCAATAAATGTGTGGTACAAGGCAAAACGTATTAATTTGCCTTGGTATATTTTGCTCGCTTTTTGCGAGGATTAATTGCGATGCGACCTTTGAATGACGAGCATCCGCCTTCACATCGTGCTTCTTACCCTTCGGACCGCCATCCACTTCCGCCACTACCTAACAATTACCAGCGGATGACGTTGCATCGCTCGGTCTCCGGCACAGCGGCGGCGTGTGGCGTGCCGCCGCGCTGACCTCCATCGATGGGTGACACCTGGCCGGGCCGTGACCCGGGCCGCCCCGAGCCGGCCGGGCGCCGTCAGACCCGCCTGGCACGCTCTGTTTGGACGTGACGCCGTTCGCTGCGTGCCGCTGGCGCCAGCTCGCCGCCAGCTGTTGCCCTTGGCGGCGGAGACCCAGGCGGGCCGGGGAGAGGCGACAAAAGGGCGACCCCTGGGGACGTGCTCCTCTCGAGGCGGCCGTCACCGCTCGTTAGGCAGCGCCGGCTGTCCCATCCCCGCTTGTAATGCTTGTGTCTCGGGAAAGCTTTTTAAGACCGCATCAACATGCAGGTTACGTAAATGGGTGTGATTCATTGTTGTGGCGCGTCCCTGTAATGCCCTCTTTCCTCAGAAATGGCTTAAATGTTTTGTCAAATGGCGGGTGATATAAGTCCGTGTGCCGGTCCATTATGCATCGCATGTTTTCAGTCGGTTTGCCCCAGTAGGCGCGGGTTGAAGCTGTCAAAATAACTGATAGGCATAATTGCCTCGCGACTCTGATGGGGTACTCGACGCTGCTGCCTCAAGCCGGTGGCATTGACATTTCAGCATTGCAGCATATATGGCCTGTGATGCAACACGTCGCGCCATCCGTTGCCTGGCTTCCGTTTTTTCGATTATATATTTCTGGCCGTTATGGAACCCAAGTGTTTTTCGCGACGCCAGAGTGCCTTTCATTTGTTTCCATTCGCGGTCTGGTGATCGTTTAATGGCCTGTCAGAGCAGACTGGGATCAAAATGCATAAAGAAGGAGGATTTTCAAAAAACCGGATGCTGGTTGAAGCCGTATGGACTAGGTCACTGCTACTTGGGCTTGTTTGTTAAGCCCTAAGGGAAGAAAATAGTTATGAACCACAAGTAGTGTAGCATTCGAGGGCGACAATCCTTGATGCGAAAAGCATTTCCCACGGTCTTAGAATTTATACATCTACGGAGACATAAGATGATGTCCATGAAATAGTTCGCGTGACGCTGGCGTGTGTTCGTGAGTCTCAGAGTGAGCTGCCTGCGTGGCCCTATGTCACGTTAATCCGCTCCTGTTGCAGAGTGCGGGGAGGCGCCAGAGACGCGCGACCCACTAGCGGCGCTAGCCTCCCAGATCCAGTACGCTTTCATCGACCCTCAGGGCAACGTCTTCTTCAACGGTGAGTGCACACGCCGTGCGGATGCGACGCACACCCGATCTTCTCCACGGCATCAATGATTCCCAGCGGGTGGGCGGTGCAGAGCTTGGTCGTGTTGTCGCAGCGGTGCAGACATAACAATTAAATCTATATTGGGATGCTGTTGTAGCCCGAGCGGGTTCTTTGAAAAAGTATTCTGCCGATGTGACACGGACTAGGCCACCGAGTTTTCATCTCGCGACCGTGCTATTTATGGTGGGACGGCAGGTCTTGCAGCGACAGCCCCCCGGCGCAGTCGTGTGCAGACGTCGGCTCCATGGTCTGGTATGGCAGTGTATACGCCTCGACTGGTCTCTCCCTGCAGAACGGCTGCTTGTTGAGGCAGGGAAACCGTTACACGTGTGACTCGCGACTGGTTTGTACATTTTGCAAGGACGACGAATCTTGGCAGGCGTCGACCTGCTTGCAGTTTTCTTGCTGGTTGTCCATGCTGCAGGGAGGATTCTGGCACGACAAGCTGTGTCTTTTGGCTTACCTTTCATCGGCTGGAAGGGCTCTTTTTCATTTGTAACCAAACGCTACCTTTGACGGTGACAATGTGGTGGATTTGTCAGATATTCTCGCCTTATCGCTAGGGGACTTTATATGAGCCATAAGTGACTAAATTACCTTTTGTTGGCTCAGCACAATTGCGGAATGCTTTGTTAAGTTGAAAGAGGTAGTTTTAGCAGACAATGACTGTGTGAAGCGCTTTAAAGCATGTTTTAACGCAGACATCGGTTAATTTACGATAATCTCGAATTATATGAGTTTCGAACCATGAAGAATTTAAGCTTCAAATGTTGTAGCTCGTGTAAGCCGTCTGAAGAGCTTTTGTGCCGGTACAGTTCGAACAGTGAATTTTCAAACACATGTTTCCAAACGATATTGAAGTTAATATGAAAAGTTTTACCCAAAATGCTGTCGTGAAATCACAATAAACGTTGCAGTTTGGGAGCGTTTTATCCCAGGAAAAGTTAGACATGTTCAAGGGTTATTATCCAGCTCGCAGATGAGATCAGAGCCCGGTGGACGTATTTCGGTGCGCTTAACTTGATGATGGCTGTCAACCATGGGCGAAATACGTTGTTGCATAGATAATACCGGTGTTGCTCCAGTAAGAATCGCATAAGACCTGGAAAGTTTCATTAACCGTTCCCTTAAAATTAGTTACAATGCAAGCATGATGAACATGGCGTATACAAATCTGATCACAAACAATGAGTTAACTACATCAAGCGGGGTGGGTCAAGGGATGATCACACACTGAGGGCATAAGGTGACAATTCAATTTTTTTACTCTCCATTTGCTGCCATGGTTTGAAGACATTCACATAAAGCCCAGGAGCGGATCCAGGTGCAGTATACGGGGTACGAGAAGTGAAATGAGCATTGATCACTGATCCTCTAAAATAAGATTCGAGCATTTGGAAATTATGTTAAAATATTTAGAAATTACAACAGCATATGTTATCGTTGTTTTCCAACAAAGCTGGGCTGTGCTACAGAGTGCGTGGTAATCTGGAGCCCTTTACCATTCCGACTCTTGGAGCCTCAGCGTCATTATGAGTAGGCTTTGTTTGTCTCTTGGGCGCCACGGACATCGTAAAGAGTTATTATCCACATCCCAAATGAGATCAGGTCCCCAGTGGACATGTTTCGTTGCATTTAACTACCCTGATGATGGCTGGCAACCGCGCGCGAAATACGCTGTTTCAATAGATTATACTCACGTCGCTCTAAAAAGAACGGCAAAGGACCCGGAAAGTTCTATTAACTGCTTCCTTAAAGCCAATTACATTGCAATTATCCTAAACATCAAGTACGCGAACCCGATCACGAACAATCGAAGCAGCATTCCCTGGCATATCATCATCTTTTCCAGCCCGTAATGTGCGCAGCGGGAGTGATCCACCCTGATCGCCATCTTGCGTGTCCAGACGCTACCTGTGCCGCCACGGCCTCTGATACCGACTGCCGGTGTGATAGCGGGCCGAACGGCGCAGCCGCGGCATCTGGCGGCGGAAACAAACTGTGGGGCGCTCGCAAGTGGCCGATAAACCAAGCACCGGGCGGCGATCTGAGCCGCGCCAACGGCGGGGCGAAATAAACCCGGCGGCGTAAATATTACCTGGACTCACCAACGGCTGCACACACACACACACACACTCACCACACACACACACACACACACACAACACACACACACACACACTCACACCACAACTCACACTCACACCACACACACTCACACTCACACCACACACACACACACACACACACACACACACCCACACACACACACACACACACCACACACACACACACACACACACACACCACACACCCCACACACACACACACACACACACACACACACACACCACACCACACCACACGCACACCACACGCACACGCACACGCACAGCACACGCACACGCACACTCACACGCACAACACACCCACCCACACACCACACACACACCGCACACGCCAACACAGCACACCACACCACACGCACACCCACACGCACCACACCACACCACACACACACACACACACACACACACACACACACACACTCACACTCACACTCACACTCACACTCACACTCACACTCACACTCAGGGTCTCGCACAGAGACGCCGCGGAAGAGCAGAAGCGGGCCTGTCCGGCACGTGAACTTTGCGTGTGCCCGCGGACACCGACCGAGACGGTATCAGGATTAGGGCACCTTTGTTCTGACTCCGAACTACACATTGACGACTCGGAATGCTTGCCAGAACCACCGTGGGCGACAGACTCACAAAGATAGTCTGCTCTTCCCTGTGCCGGGAGCACTCGATGCAAATGAGCCGTCCTCGCAGCAAGGTTGACAGCAATGCCAGCTAGCGCAAATGTCTGGGGGGAGGGGGAGGGGGGAGCATTCAAATGTGTACACAGTGCTGCATTTCAACTTCAACGTCCACTGGGTAGCCTTGGACACCATTGGGGAGCTTGCTGCAAGCTGGCGCGCTGAGTGACTGCCTAGACTACCCAGCAATCTCAGAGATAGTGGAGGATAATGACGAGTTGGATGGTAAGAGGTTGGCATCATGTTATGCTGCCTAATCTAGAGAGCTTTCCTGTCTCAACCATGACCTACTCTCTGACTTCCGAGTGCACAGCTCAGGATCACCTGATCTGTGCGAGAATGGGACCTCGAAAACCGAATAACAAATAGCGAGTAAATAACAATAACAATCAGCGAATAACAAATAAGAGATCGCAAAACAGTCGTTTACTTGTGGTTTGCTGCTTAACGCGGGAGAGACAGCTGTTCTCACCCGATCCGCTCGCTTGGCGTCTGAATTAATCGAGAAGAAGATGAGTGAAAAGGAACATTTTATTTTACCAACCAAATTCAAAACGTGTAAATTTTTGCCTGTCGCCAGATTAGCTAATAAGCATTACTACATTATGCTATTCTGGCACCCATAAGCACGATAGAATTTCCTTGCTACAGTTATCAGCAAATCAGCGCCTGATAAAGATGACCACTTGGGCTTTAGGAGGCACCGGCAGCTGAGGTGTTTTCTCGCCCACCTTTTAGTGCCCGACCTGGAAAATGAAACCAGACTTTGGAAATGAGCTTATGACTGGCTGATGAACTGTTGGTAGCTAGAGCTGGCCGCGGCAGGCTGCTGACGCTGCTGGTGGTGGGGCCGTTGGCCAGCAAGTGACTCATCGGGCAGCTGGAAATGTGGAAGGCGGCCACAGACTGGTGGCAGATCAGCCTCATCGTCTGGTATCTTGCTGGTGTCACGCGCAATCGAGCGACAGGTTACTTGCTTCTCAAAGAAGTTCACTGGGCATCAATTGTCCTGTATTTGGATAAAGTGTGGCTCCAACAGGGAAACCACCTGCCCTCTCAATGAGGGCTGAATGAAGGTCAGAGAGCAATATGGCTTTAGACCACTTTGGCGGCGCAAATTATGTGACGGAGACGATATGTCAGTAGTTGATTTTTTGAAACCTTGAAGGACCCCGGAACCCTACGGATTTCCGGTGTCTGAATTTTGGTTTTGCGTCTTAATGGATGTGATAGTTTCCCAATACTTGATTAAGGCCAAGCAGCTTTTTGACAATTACTTTTGGTTTTTCTGATTGCTAAATTCGACAGCCATAAACTAGCATAAACGACATTGTTGTCTTCAACTTCATCGATTTGATCATGACGCAAGCGACGGATTCAATGTTCGGTCATTTTCAGTGTGTATTTTTTGAGAGTTGGATGACGTAAGTCAAAAAAGTAAATGTTTAAATTGAACAGAGTGAAGACCCTGTCATGTTAAGTAGCTATGTCAGCTTCCCATTTCTTCCTGCGATTCCCACCAAATAACGTTCATCCTGTGCAGGCCACCTATCTCCATCTCAATCTGTTACCTTACTTTTCCATTACCTCCATCCCATTAATAATAGCTTTCTCCTTGTAAGATAGCCGCGGTGGCGAGACCTGACAGGAACACGACTTGCAAATGCCGCACCGACGTCAAATCTCTCGAATAATTTGCTTCCGAATATGCAATTGTGGTCCTTGCAGCAGCAGTTACACGTTCAGCAATGATATTAGTCGTTTAGTCCCGCCTTTTTTATATTAGTTGTTTAGTCCCGCCTTTTCTATATTAGTTGTTTAGTCCAGCTTGTGTCGTCCATAAGCAGCGGAAATGATGTACTTGTGTTTTCTACACTTACGAGCTGCGTTGTCTGGATCACTCGAAAGCTTTGATTTCACTCTTCTCCACTTTCGAGTTTCTCACCAAACAGCTGGAAAAAGGCCTATTTTTCAATGATCATACGTAGTTAATTGGAACTTTTCATTTCTGCCAAGTGCTGCAAATTCCACGCCCAACCCAAAAAGACCCCCCAGTTTCGCGTTTTATTTTGTTTACGGGCTTCGTACCGTTCACAGAGACGATCACTAAGCGTAACAACATGGGGTCTGTCTGATTTGCGACACCTGCAGTCTTTTCTCACGTCACGGGATGATTGATGTCCATAAATGTCTTAGCTCCAGCAGACCTATGTAGCGCGCATTTTACCATCGATTATCACACTGGACCGCCCCTCTGCCCCAGCCGCATCAGACCTCCCTTGACATGACCTGGTGTCCCTGTGCCACTTGACGTCCCGTGACAAGACCTGATGTTCCTGCATCACTAGACCTCCCCTGACGTGGCCCGGTGTCCCCGCATTACCGGACCTCCCCCTTGCGTGGCCTGGTGTCCCTGCATTACTGGACCTCCCCCCTTGCGTGGCGTGGTGTGCCTGCGTCACTTGACCTCCCCTGACACGACCTGGTGTTCCTGCATCACTAGACCTGCCCTGACATGGCCCGGTGTCCCTGCATCGCTGGACCTCCCGTGACGTGACGTGGTGTCGATGCCTCACCGGATCGCCAGCGCCGGTGTCCCTGTGTCGCTGTGTCTCTTCCGCCCCGGACCGGTCTTGACAGCCTCCGTGTCCGTGCCGCAGTGATGGACGAGTCGGGCATCATCCACCTGCCGCCGGTGGCCGGGTACTACATGGCTGAGTCGTACCCGGGCGGCCCGATGATCGCCACGCCCGTGCCGTGGCAAGCGGTGCCGATCGCGCCGCTCAACTCGCCCGAGTACCAGGCGCTCATGCAGGCCGAGCGCGAGAAACGGCAGCGCCAGCTGGACCAGCAGGCCGAGCCGCAGCAGCAGCAGCCGCAGCAGCCGCCGCAGTCGCCGTCGGCGCAGCAGCAGCCGACGCAGCAGCAGCCGGCGGCGCAGCAGCCGGCGCAGGAGGTGAGGGGACGCCGCTGGCGCGCCGCTGTGTGCATCAGGGGCATCTCGGCCGGTAGGGGCGACGGGCGGCCGGGTGAGCGCCCGGCAACCGAACTCCGGATCAGATCGCATTGTAAATGGGCTGTCCGCACCGGGGAGGCTTCGGACAAGCCGGCTGCGGTGATTCACGGAATCCGCGGTGGGTGCGGCGCTCTGGGTGTCGCTGTGTCAACGGAGGCGATCGGTGGGAATGAGTCGACCGGAGCCTTACGTCACATGTCGTGCGGCAGGACAAACAGATGCTGCTCCCCACAGCAGGCCAAGCAAAGCAGAGCTCCCTCACCAGCCGCTGCTAAACACCAGCTGAACGTAGCCATTGATCCCGGGCAATGGCCCGCCTCAGTAGACAGCCACGGCCAATTTCGCGCTATCCCACGGCGTACCCGTCGACCGAGGTTCCGTGCCAAAACACCCGCATCGTTCCTGTTGTCATGGTGGCAGGTGTTCTTCCCTGTACCCTCCACCCACGGCTGTTGTTCAGCAGCGTCTCATAGCCGGCCGGCTGAGACGAGCCCCGGCCTTGCACCGACGCGGTGCAGCCCGGGCGCCACCCACCGCCGTTTGGCGTCGGTTCAGCGCTCCTGCGCCGGCATTGCGTGTGAAGCTCGTTCATCCGCCGCCAAGTCGAGCCCGGCCGGCTTTGGCTGCCATGGCTGCCGTTGGCAGCGCTCCACGCGATCTCACAACCGCCGCAGCGCGCCGCGCCGCTGAGATAACGATGAGCACATGACCGGCACCCCGTGGCCGGCGAGTCCAACGCGTGCCACGTGACCGCCTGCCTCCGCCGCCCCGCCGGCACCTGGCCGAGTTGGCAGCGCTCGACGGCGCCCTCGTGACGGCTACCAAATGCGGCGAGCCGCCTCGCCGGAGCATTGGGCCGCCCACCGATAAGATCAGCTGATCGGCCGGCCAGCGCGCGCGCCAAGCGGTCGGCGGGGGGAGGCTGGGCTCGAGGGTGGACCGCGGTGGACGGGCGGGGCGTCCACGGAGCGCCCACATCCACAGACCACTCACGTCCGCAGGATGCCAGCAGGGGAGATAAGTTGTACCGCAACATCATGAGTTCGAAAACGGTGCCGACAGGAAAGAGAGAGAGCACTGTTCGGACTCAGAGCTTATCAGATATCAGTGATCATGATTTGCCAACTCACAAGAGGGATTATTATTTTTGTATTTATGCAGCTCAGGAGCCTGGGAATATGACAATGTAGAGTTGAAATTAGGAGATTGGGGTCAAACGCGAATGACGTGTCGCCGTTGGGATTGTCTACTGCTACTCTGCCGTGACTTGTCTGTCACTTGGGACGCTTGTCGCTGGAGAAAACTCATCTGTTAACAGACAACGGTTTTCACGATTTCATTAATCTTGGAAATTATACAGACATCGAGTAATACGGCGCTCCCATGATCGTATATATATATATATATATATATATATATATATATATGTATATGTATATGTATATGTATATGTATATATATAGCTTTCTCTATCGCTTTATAATTAATTATTGATATAAATAGCAATGGTAACTTAAAGCTGAAATCAGAAAACCGCAGGCCGCGGCCAGGCTTAGCTGATCGATGGATAGCGAAGATCAATGATCGATTGCAATGAGACCTCGTGAGCCCGTTTTAAAAATGGGCCGCTCTTTTTCGTCTGCCAATATTTTTATCGCCGCCGCTCTCGAGTGCTCCCCCGCGTGTCACATAAACCGCTCGTTCGGAGCGTCGCTCGCGCCGAGCCGCCCCGACGGCGGAGCACGCTTCCCCGTCCCGGCGCCTCCCCGGCCCGGCGCCTCCCGCGTCCGGCCGGCGATGGGCCCATCACCGCTCCGTCCACCGCCGGCCCGCGGCCGGTCCGGGGCGCGGACACCACTTCATCAGCGCCGCGCCCCGGGCGCCGGGCGCGCTCTCGGCACCCGCCGCTAACAGGGTCGGCCATGTATCATCGGCGATCGTCGCCGGCGCCGGGCCGCGCCGGCGCTATGTTTAGCCGCGCCGTCCTGCCAGATTGTCACCTGTGAGGAGGACGGTCGGGGCGGGCCGGCGGCACGCGACCGACTGTCAGGCCCGGCCGAGGAGCGGCCACAGCGATGTCAGAACGGACCGAGGAGGGATGTACGGGCGTCAGCCCCAGCCGGGGGACGGCCGCAGGGATAGCAGAACGGACCGAGGAGGGATGTACGGGTGTCAGCCCCAGCCGGAAAGGGGCGGGAGGGATGTCAGAACGGACCGAGGATGGAACTACGGGTGTCAGCCCCAGCCGGAGAGGGACCGGAGGGATGTCAGAACGGACCGAGGATGGAACTACGGGTGTCAGCCCCAGCCGGAGGTGGGCGCAGGAGTGCCGGGGAGGGGTGGCAAGGATGCTGAAACGTGCCGAGGAGGTCAGAACGGATCAAAGAGAGAAGCGGGAGTGTCAAGACTGGTCGGGAGGAACGAAGGGGTGCCAGGGATGGGCGGGGGGATGGGTGCTCCGCCAGAGAGTCGGAGGGTGAGCGAAGGACGATTGTGGGAACTGACGATAGGGGGCGGGGAGGGGGGGGGGCAGAGTGGGTCAGAGATGAACAGGGGGAGGTAGCAGTGCCAGAGATAGACGGACAAGGGATTATGGGGACTGGGCCAGAAAGGGTCACAGAAATGTTGCAAATATGCCGTGGGCGTTCCATGGGTGTTAGAAATGAATCGGAAGTGTGCGCGAGTGTGTCGAAAATGAACAAGACGCGAGTGTAAGTAATTAACGGCAGGAGAATGAGGGATGTCAGGAATGCACAATGAGGTGACCGAAGGGCAATGTTGGGAGCAGCTTAGGTGACGGTTTTAGGGTGCAGCTAAGGAGTGTGAGGTTTCAGACCGGAAAGGAGCGTCAGACTCTGGTCGACGCGAGCGTGCATTGATTCATTCGGCAGGAGTCAAAGTGCGCGGTGCGGTGGCTGAAAAGACACAAAGATGTTACCGGAGTGGCAGCGGGAGTTCCGATATGGCAGCATTCACCCTGGAGGTCTCCTGAAGCCATTCTCGTCCTGGCATCAGTGCGATGGCCAGGGGAGGGGTTATGGCATCGAACCGTCGGGTTGTGGCGGGATGTAGCAGCGTCGGCGGTGTCAAGGAGCCACGTCAGTCCTGGCATTGGTCCGATGGCCAAGGAGGGGCCATCGGGGTGTGGCGAGGTCGGCGGGCCACGTCAGTCCTGGCATCAGTCCGATGGCCGGGCAGGGGCCATTGGGGTGTGGCGGGGTCGGCGGGCCACGTCAGTCCTGGCAGCAATCCGATGGCCGGGCAGGGGCCATCGGGGTGTGGCGGAGTCGGCGGGCCACGTCAGTCCTGACATCAGTCCGATGGCCGGGAAGGGGGGGGGCATCGGGGTGTGGCGGGGTCGGCGGACCACGTCAGACCTGGCATCGGTCCGATGGCCGGGGAGGGGCCATCGGGGTGTGGCGGGATCGACGTGAGACGTCAGACCCGGCATCGGTCCGATGGCCTGGGGAGGGGATATCGGGGTGTGGCAGGGTCGGCGTGAGACGTCAGACCTGGCATCGGTCCGATGGCTCGGGGGGTGGGAGGGGCCATCGGGGTGTGGCGGGGTCGGCGTGCGACGTCAGCCGCCCAGCCGGCCGGGCGCCGCCGTCGGCCGCGGCCGGGCCTTCGCCGCTGTTTGTTTGGCTTGTGTTGGCTGCGCAGCTGGTCGGTGCGACGTGACGGTGGTCGGACGGGGTTTGGCGACCCTCCGACCGGCGCCGCTGGGCGACTGGGCCGCCAGTGCTGTTTTAGCGGCGGGCGGGGGACCCCGCGTCGTCTGGCACGTGACGACGCGCTAAAACTGGCAGCTAGACGAGCTCCTGGAACGACACTGAAGCCGTGACACCTGAGGTTATCGGATCGATGGGTTCAGACTTACCTCAAGGGGAGGGTGCAGGGGGTTTCGTTGTTTTAACGCTGCAGGGTTCAGAACTTGCTTTGCTCCTACATCGGGCCGCGGAAATTTTCCGCGCGTGAATGTTGATCAAAGGTTATTTCAGACGACATTGCGATGAGACTGCAAGCCGTCGGAACTAATTCAATCTTTCCAAAGTTGTCCGTCAATGATGATGTGTCGCCACCTTTCCGGCCTCTGTCATCAGCGGCTCCTGGTTCGATCCTCCTCAGATCTCCCAGCAGCTCCTTAGGTCAGCTCCCCCCCCCCCCCCAGATGTCATCATCAGCAGTTCGCAGGCTTCATCAGCGGTCCCCTGGCCAGTCCTCTGCACGCCGACGCCAGCTGTCGGTCCTCCGGACGCCTTCCCCAGCCCCCGTCCTCCGCGCGCTGTCGCCAGCAGTACTCCTCCACCGTCCGTGATCGCTCTCGCCGGGCGCTGCGGGTCCCACTTAATCTGGCGGGGCGAGCGTCCTCCGGGGAGGGCTGGCCGCACCCTCGCGCCGCGTGCTCCTCCGTGTCTCTGTCCGTGGTGCCGGGACCGCTGTCGCCCGAGTGCTATCGACCGGAACGGGCCGAGTGGTGGTCAGGCCGCCGCGCGCTGGGGTCCTCGCCGGTGGCGTCCCTGGCACGCCACGTGTGCCCCTGTAACCCAGCCGCTGGAGAGTGACCCCTGACGGGCCAAAAGAAGCTTATTTTAGTTCTGATGTGCTCGGTGTTTCAGAGGCATGTTTTATTTTCGCCAAAAGATGGCCATCGATTGGAAGTACACGGCTCGTCGATGGACGGTTTGCTCTAGGCCTCCTAGCTAGGTGGATGGGTTTGTATGCGTGTTTGAATGCATGGAACTTATTGAGACGGCTGTAAGATTTGGAGCTTTGGCACATGGCATGCCTCTGATGTATTTGTACCCAGTTTTGTACTTATCCCGCCATGCATCAGTTTCGAAACATATTTACAGCGTTCCACCGCCCATCTATTATTCCACCTCAGGTAACTTGAAATGGTTCAAACTTTTACTCTTTACTCTCGGACCTGTGTTGGAGCGTAATTTTTCAGCGTACGAAGCACCGTCCATATTCGTTCCCACGAAAGGCAGGTAGGCTGATTTTTACCGCCCGAAGGCTTCTTACAGATACTTAGAAACGTTCTGCGCGTTTCTCCAACAGCGAGACGAATGTGAACATTCGTCGAAGCGAAACGACTGCAGTAGTGCAGCGAGCTCATTTATCTTTCCATCTGCTCTGTTGTGGCTGGCTGCGGTCCAGCCGGCCTGGTCCACGTCTCCCGTTATGCAATCTGTCGTCAGTCGCGTATAAATTCAGTCCTGGCCCGGCTCCAGTCCTTTACCGAACCGCATTGGATGTCAACTTGTTTCCATAGCAACGAAATGCGCCCTCGCCAACGCTGGGCGGCACGGCTGTGACGTCGGGAGTCAACTTAAGCAGTCCAAGTTTGGAAGTTGCGTTTGTCTCGCCACGTCCAGGCTCCCGGATCGGTTCAAGGAGGCTCTGTGACCGCGCTCGCGGACCGGTGCAACATTGGCCTACTTCTTGGCTCTCAGAACCCGATCCAACCGAGCTTTTCTGCTCGCGTCCGCGATCCGCAGGGCCGCGGGCCTGTCGCTGAGCTGCGCGGTCGGCCAGATCCTCCCAATCGCTCGATCCGTCTGAGCCGGCCCAATCCGGCGGACGAACGGGTGGCTTCTGCCGGAGAGAAGGCCCGCTGTTCCGGACCGACTGATTGATGCGTGTCTAACTCGGCCTCCTGCAAGGCCGCCGCCGACAGCTCGCCTCGCGCGCGGAATCGGCACAATCAGCACGCCCGGCATTGCGCAGGAATGCATAAATAGGGCGGGAGTCCGGCTGGCTGGCAGCGCAAGATGGAAGACGCTGAGGGTTGAGCTGCCTCGCGTCCTGGGGACATATCGCGGTTGTTTGATAGGTTTGTTTGCGTTCTTGTGATATGGGTGCCCGGCTGACGGCAGAGGCAAGGCTTTCTCGGCGGCTGGGTATCACCGCAGCCTGTGTGTCTGATTAGCATGACCGCCATCAGACTTCCTTGTCTGCGTCCGTCCCGCCGTCTGGCATATCTGGCGTGGCCACGTCCCGCGGAGGCAACCGTAGACCTCTCATGCGATGACCATCGCAGCGATAGGAAGACCGATGCCGCCCGCAAACACACTTATCACGGCTGATCACACGATTGGCGTCCACACTGATGGCTACGCGATGTCGGGAGTCACGCCCCCCCTCCCCCCTCCTCGGAAAGCACGCGGGCTGCGCTTCGGGGCGCCCCCGTGCTTGTGCGCCGAAACCATTTGGTTGTTGGACGAGTAAAAACAGTCGCCCGTAAACGCTGAAGTGCAAAAGTTCGGATTAGACGTGGATGACCTACAGCTTTAAAAGTGAAAACTTAGTTGGAAATTCATGAAAATCCCTGGTAACAGATTTCCTGGCCAAGCTCATCTCAGGCTGATGGTTAAGAACCGGGTGAGGGAATGTTAGTGGGGGCGTGCGAGCGGTTTCCATGGCAACACAGAGCCGGCTGGATGGCGTGCCAATCCTGGCGTTTGAATACACGGCCGCCGGGTCGGGTGGTTGAAAACGCAGCGTCGGTAGAGGGTGCGCCAGCACTTGAGGTGGCTTCTTCGAGGCACTGATGATAGCCCGAGTGTGGGCTCGGTTTGTGGCCTTCAGACGCTGCCTTTTAAGAGAAGGGCCTCAAGACGCTGCCTGGTATGAGAAGGGCCTCAAGTATCTTGTGGTCGGCTTCGCCTTGTCCAGTGCCGGGATGATCCGGGATGGTCAAAGGCCGCGGCACTGCAAATGATATGGCTTACCAAATCACTTGCAAATGCTCTGTGGCGGGATCCGTTGGAGAAGCAAAACGATGCGTATTGCCTCGTTGAACGAGCATATTCAGGGCTCCAATCAAAAGGCTTCATCACGCTCCTAAGAGATGGCGGTATTCAGACCCACCAAGACGAGCAGAGCCTCAATTTTGGCGTCGCCATACTGCGCTAATGTGCTGACGGAACTGACTGAGAGGTCTCTCAGAACCTTGAAAGGCTCCGAGACGCTCGTCAAAACCAACACGCTGAAAACCCAAGATCCAATGAGCAGACGAGGTGAACACCAAAGCAGCGGCTGGCCGGCCGTCGGTGCCTCAAAATTACCGCTACATGATTCTGGTCCATCACATACCGGCGAGTGCGGTCCCAGACACCAACCGATGACCGATCATTCCATCACCGAGGTTTCACTGTGACTCAGATAGGTCAGGTCTGCCACTGGACTCGCTCGCTCGCTCTCACCAGCACCCCTCACCAGACTCGCTCGCTCGCTCTCACCAGCACCCCTCACCATTGGCGCGAAGGTGGCAAGCCTGGACATTCGTCATGCACAGTTTTTACTAATCGTCTCTGCTCTTTTCGTCTGTAAGTTAACGTCAGTCTCGAATGCACCCGGACTTATGCGTTACAGGGGCTGCTAGTCACAACATTTATTCCCGCAACATAACGGCCAATATACAAGCCGCGTCCCGCCGGCATCACCATCTGATTGTTGCCTTTCCTTCCAACGGTCAAATATTATGGCGAAAGAGCTCGTGCCTGCGCGGAACTCGGGCCCAACTTGTTCCATCACAGCGCTCCTGTTCCCGTCTCCCATGCACATCCGTGGTTGCGCCGCCTTTAAGAATGCATCTGAATCACACATCAGCGTCCTGAAGATCGCCTTGGCACTTTGAACCGCCTCGGCGCTCTCGAACAGAAGCTGGAGAGGGGGATTTTCGGCGGGATTCGGTGAGATCCCGGCCGGCATGAGTCGCCCGCCAATTGGTCCAGATTGGGGCTCTCCGCCACCGTTTGAGCCGGCTCGAGTTTGGACCGGTTTGAGCGGACGTTATCAGGGTCTCATGAGCGCTCCCCGCCACAGAGTTCAGGCTCGTGAGGGAGAAGGGTATTGCGTGGATGGGCGCGGGAAGGTACAGCACATACTCGGACGCACGCGAGTCCGACAGGCGGTGTTTGGTGCCGTCGTGTTGATCAGAGGGCGTGCACGGACTTTGCGACGATGACAGAGTCGTACCTTGGGCGTCACACGTCACGAGCACGGATGGGCGGTGCGGACCATTTGCTGGCGAACGCATGCCACTCAAGCACACGCCCCTGGCAGCATGAACCCAGTGATAAAATGTCTCGTGACCAAGCTTTCCGCTCTGCCACCAAACGAGGAATGCATGAAATGTTTTTTATGAATATTGACGTAGCGCCGATTTTAATTTTAAGGAACTATTTTCCCGAGAGAATTTACTCTTACTAGTCTGATGAAATGGACGGGGATTTCAAGTAACTGTAATGGTGATACATTTATTAGCATAATGCTGGTTGACTTCTGCCGAACAGAAGTACTTTTGACTGTCAGCTTCCACTCATGTTGAGACGAGCGATAATCTCTGTACGATAGCATTGTCTCCATGTCAAGACTTCGTGACGGGGCGGCAAAATATATTTTCGAAAGAGAGGATGACATGATAATTCTTGTTTAGCCAGGTGGTGCTATGATAAACATGAAGAGATATCAAACAATGTCAGACAAAATCAATGGTAACCTTTCGTGTACGGAAATATAAAATTTCAAGCATTTAAGTCCCTCCTTCAAAGGTAATCATCTTTAATTACCTCCCTTCAAAGGGAAGTAATCAAAGGCCCCCGAATTTCCTGCTACATGAGCATCCAAAAATTCCACACACTTCAGCTTCTGAATACTTAAAATGATGCCCATATCACATTTTCGTAAGTGGTTTCTCAGGCTACGGCGCCCTCATGATTTATGAAGCCATTTTGGACAAAAAAGTATAAGGCATGGTGGTGTCCGATATCGAACGATCTGTCCTGAATCCTGCTACAGGCAATTTGTCCGCGAAATAAAGCTGACAATATCCACTGGCACATATATTAGTGGCCGACAACGTTGTCAGCAGAGGCTCCTGATCTATATCCTGAGTAGAAGCCCTCGGCCGTCTGGCCTGGTCTACCGTGGGCATCAACGATCCGTCTTCCGCGAAGTGCCCCCTGAACTACAGCCTTCCGCCCAACGTGTGAACCGTCGGAGCTATCATTTGAGTGATTTGAACCTCTGGCTCTCGGACTGACCGTTGTCTGAGCGCCGCCCGCTGAGCGGTGTGCCGTGTCTGAGTGCGCTGGCCAGGGCTCTGAGCGTGACCGGACGTATGTGACCGGTATTCGCTGTGCCCTCAGGAGCTGGCGGACGGCGAGGGCAGCAGCCCGTCGGGCAGCCGGCCGCGCTCGGCCATGTCGGACGCCAACTCAGCGCCGGCCACCAGCGGCGCCGGCTCACGGCCGCACACACCCACCCCTCCGGGCCGACACAGCAGCTCCGGACACGAGCACGGTGAGTCCCGCCACTCCTCCGGGCCGACACAGCAGCTCCGGACACGAGCACGGTGAGTCCCGCCACCACTCCGGGTCGATTTAGGAGCTCCGGACACGAGTACGGTGAGTCCCGCCACCCCTCCAGGCCGACACAGCAGCTCGGGGACACGAGCACGGTGAGTCCCGCCACTCATCCGGGCCGACACAGCAGCTCCGGACACGAGCACGGTGAGTCCCGCCACTCATCCGGGCTGACACAGCAGCTCCGGACACAAGCACGGTGAGTCCCGCCACCCTTCCGGGCTGACACAGCAGCAGCGGACACAAGCGGGGCGCGTTATACTTTTCACCCTTCTCCGGGTCGGCGCAGCATCTCTGGGCATGAGCACAGCGCCACCCTGCCGCTTTCCGGGGTGACGCAGCCGATGCTGGTGAATCCTCGGATCTGAGGCCGCCGCCGCACTCCGGAATAGAAAGATAAGAAGGCACCAGCGCTGTGCTCCGCGTCTTTCGCGGACATGGGCGCTCCTCCCGCGTGGAATTGGCTCGGGATTTCTTGCCGTGGGCACGACCTGGACCGGTTTCCAGTGAGCGCCCGGCTTCCCAGCTGTCCTGTCCTGTCCTGTCCAGCTGTCCTGTCCTGTCCAGCTGTCCTGTCCAGCTGCCCTGTCCTGTGTCGTGCTCTGGGGGGTACCAACACAGCTGTGCGGGACCCGCTTCACGGAGCCTCGCAGAGCTCTTACGCACGAGTATATAAAGGTGCCTGCTGCTTTTGGCCACGTGCACGCTTGCCCCGCACACCGCGGCGAAACAGAACAGGAAAACAACGCCCACCTTGGCGTGTCACGGCCGTCACGCCCGAACGTCACACGGTGGATACTGACGAAAGACGCGGCGGTGCGTTCGCCGGGCTGGTGATGTCACGGAATGGGCAAGGACGAAGGCGAAAGCAGCTCGCCGCACTCGATCAGAATCTGCTCAGCGGATGCGGAGCGGACCAACTTTACGATCTAAAGCTCTTGGAGTCGATTATTGTGGCGAGCCTGAGTCTCTAGGGTTTAGTACGGACTTCGTGATCCGTGATAGTGTCCCAGTGCTGGAGCGTGTCAAATATGCTCCAGCAAGCGATGGTGCGCGGACCCGAGCGCTGGGTCCGCGCTCGGGTCCGCGTCATTAAGTGGTTAGAAGGCCAATATGGTAAAACTTTTTACGCCTACATCAAGCCATTTGTCTAGCGGCTTGAAAATATGGTGATTGAAGACGGCAATCACGAGATACGGCTTGGACGTGGATTCCCCAGATTGTAGAACGAAAGCTTGCGTTTCCACAACCAAACCATGGAAATGGTCTTACTGTCGTGCGGCTCCGCGGATTCGTATGACGGCGATCCGTTTGGCCCCGGTCCCCGGGCCCTGTGCTCCGGGCCCCGGGCTCCGCGCCCCGGCCTCCGGGCTCTGGGCTCCAGTATCCAAGTGAGCTCCGGGTTCCGGGCTCTGGCTCCGGCCTCTTGGCTCAGGGCCCCGGGCTCCGGGCTCTGGCTCCGGGCTCTTGGCTCCGGGCCCCGGGCTCTGGGCTTCGCGTCACGGGCTCCGGACTCTGGGGTCCGGACTCCGAGTGAGCTCCGGGTTCCGGACTCCGAGTGAGCTCCGGGCTCCGGGCTCCGGGATCCGGGCTCAGGGTTCCGGCCTCCGGGTTCTGGACTCTGGATTCTGGACTCCGAATGAGTTCCGGGCTCTGGCTCCGGGTTCTTGGCTCCGGGCTCCGGGCTCCGGACCCTGGCCCCCTGACTCCGAGTGAGGTTCAGGCTCCGGGCCCTGGGCTCCGGGCTCCGGGCTCCGTTCCTCGGGCCTCGGGCTCCGGATGGAGAGCGGAGGTCCCCGCAGCGCGGTATTCATCGGACGTGCCATCAGCGACGCGCGCGGGGCGTGCTCCCGCCCCCGACGCCCCGCTGACGGAGAGCAGCCGTCGCGCGACGCGGCGGGCCTGGATGGCGGCACGCGCGACCCGAGCAGGTATTTCGGTGACGCGTGGGCTCGCGTCTGTCCTGGCTGATGGGCGCGCGCAGGTGGGGCGGTGGCGCTCCTTGTGAGCCGTGCTCGAGTTACATTGCCCACGAGACATAAATGTTTTCTTCAATTTGTTTGCAAACTTGTTAGACTATCTGCTGCGCATGTTTGACAACAAGGGAGATTAGTGCTGGCTGACTACTTTGCGTGTTGTTTGTGATAGTCTCGCCCTTGAGACACGCTACGAAAGTCTCACATCTGATATCTAAATGATACTGTTGATCGAGCAGGGACCAGCCCAAACGATGGGAAAGACATGGCTATCACTGCTCGGGCCCCTCCCGTCTCCTCAGCCCGGGGCCTACACGCGGCTGGCCTGGAGCGTGCGCTGGGCTGCGGCCTCCACCCGGGGCGTGACAGGGTTAAGAATAGACCGTCCGGCGGCGGCGCGCGCCATCCACCGAATTCGTTGCAGCCTCGGGTGCTCGTAAAGCGGTGACACCGTTATCACCTGTCGGTGCGCGGGAGAGTCGCGAGGGCCAACGGCGTCGCGAAGTTCCCAGGCCGGCGACGGCGTCGTCGCCGGCCGCCATAAATGCTTCCGGCCCGTCCCTCGCCGGCGGCCTACGCGCGACCGACCCTGCTGACGTCACGCCGACGCCGCTGACGTCACAGCGGCGTAACGTCGGGTCGCCGGAGTGGTCTCGTGATGCGCTGGCTGGGAATAGCCGGTCGCCCGGCAACAGCGGAGAGTGCGGGGCCGGCCGGCCGGCGGACGGCGGCGGGCAGACTCCGTGGCGGATCGATCCGGCGACGGCCGGTGACGCCGCGCCGGGCCTCCGATGACGCGCCTCATTTGAGCCGGCGGCCGCGTCAGCAGCGCGCAGAATGCTGCCGCCCGCAGCGGGGGCGGCGGGCCCCGGCCCCGCCCCGTCTCGCCCGCACGCCGCGGCGACGCTGGTGTCGGGTGACAGTCCGACACAAGCTGCAGACGGCGGTCAGACTAGCGGATGTTCGGTTGTCAGTACCCCCGACAAGCGACGGCGGTCTGGTTTGATCAATGGCGAGGTGGTCTGTGAGGGGCTTTGCGGTTCCATGTTCAGTGTCAGTCCAGCTTACAGACGGGCGTCTCCGCGCGACATTCTCGTCAGCATTGGTTTGGCGCCGCGTGGCTGCTGCGCGACTATGTCCGTCTTCAGTGGAGTCTGGGCGTGGCCGGAGTTCGCTGACTGGTTTCTCATTGTACCTCACGACCGACTACCTGGCGAAGGTTAAAACTGCTTGACCTGGCAACTTAATCGTTGTAGTTTTGTTCGATGATTATGTTCGGCGACCATGATTATGGTCGTATCGTGTACGGCGATGTTGGTCTATGAATAGCAGCGGATAACGTCATTATTTGTGCACTGTGGCGCGTATGCATCATGTCGTTAGCTTTCATCGTGCATCACGGCGCTTCAAAAGCTCGAGATATTGACGTCAAGCACATCTTTCGGGAAATCACTCGGGACGTTTTCATTCATCGCCGCCACCGTTCGTAAACCCAGTGTGCCGGCCGCAGCCGACCGGCCTCAACACCCTGGGTAAATACGGCGGCCGCTCTCACTGAGTCTGCAACCCGCTGCTGCTTGCAGTGCACAGAGTGCAGGTCATCCCGTTCGCAGACCAGGAAGTTGGTGGACACTCCGGATGGGCCTGGCCCCAGCCGAACCGCTGCCAGACCCGGCACAGACCCGAGCAGACGCCAATCCCACTCGGTGTGCGCTGGCCTGGTCCGCCCTGACTAGCGGAGCACGCGTCACGAGAGGTCAGACTTTTAAGTCGCGGCCCTGGAGGGAGTACTGGCTGTCGCAGACTGGAGCAGTGTCGAGCCATCCGCCAGAGACGAGGCGGGTCAAGTGGTCCAGACACAGAGAGGGAGACAGCAGAAATCACGGCTCTAGTCACTACGCGACACTCAGGTTTTTCAACAACAACATGACAACCGAATTTGGACGATTTACGTATTTCAAATTACTTTTACTTAGGGCATACGTTTGTGGCGCTGTGTGATGGGTACCATAAAACACGGAGCGTAACTGTTCGGCAGGAAAATTCAACCCCAAAACATTTACTGGATTGTTTGCCGCGGGGCTCAATTTCGGCAGTCTTGGTTGCCAATCACCCTGCGGTCATAAACAACTGCACTGCCCTTGACGAGAGAAAGGCGGTCGATCTTGGTTTTTCCTGTTAGAATGTCGTGCAAGGACTGGTATGTCAGAAAATCGCACGGTTCAGTCACGGAATATTTGAGACCTTGTATTTATGTCGTGACATAATTCTCCGTGGCGTAATTCTCGTGACGTAATCAGCTTTTGGTCCTCTTGTTTTAATGTTGAGTGTCTTGCGCGATTCGATGTGGTTATGTAATAATAGGGTGCGAAAACTGCTGAGCTGCACGTTGTTTTTACTTACTAGTTCTGCAGCCTGCAACTTCTGTGATGTCTGAGGAAACAAACACTACACGTGTTAAGCTCAGGTGGAAACGACCTCTCCTGGAGTTATCATAGGGCTAATTTGGTAGTTGAGGTAAGCTGATAGACTGGCCGAAACGAAACATATGGCATTCATCATCTGCTGCGTGGAAATGATTTCGTTGTCAGAATATAACGTACATTTATATATATATGTATATATATATATATATATATATATATATAGGCTACAAATATATTGATTAAGAAAAATAAATATTTTGATAGCACAGGCACTCAACGGCTTTAGTCACGATTCCTCGTTGGCAGCCGCTTTCGCTTGGGATGCGCGAGTCTCGCTCGGAGGGCATTCCTCTGCGGCCCTGCATAGCGTGCAGGGGCCGCGTGCCAAGGTCACAAGGTTAGAATGACGTCACGTCGCGCCAACTGGCACCCTTCACGCAGTTAGACACCGCGCTGATTAAGTGATAACAGCTGCAGAATCCTTTCGGTTCTTGTCCAAAGGCGAATCCAAGATGTTGCCACTGAATCCTGAAGTG